CTCTTATTAAAAAGAACGCAGCATTCAGGTGACTTCAGACGTGAATGCCACTGGACAGATCAGATATGATCAAATATCTGATCCTATTGTCCGCCATTTTATCTGCTGCCTCTGAGGGGCTTATGCTTGTTCCTGGTTTAGAGATGCCAAAAACACAAAATGAAATGCCTCTGTGCTGTACTTGCTCTAGCTTCTGTGACTCATGTTGAGCAGAAAGAAAACATTTAAAAAAAAAGAAGAAGAAATCAAAGCAGGTTTTCTAGTGGTTCCTTCTACTTTTCTGATACTTTGGTGGTTCTCAGCCCTCTTTGGACATTAGAGCCACCTGAAGATATGTTTACTGGGCCTTACCCAGACCAATAAATAAAAGTCTTTGCAGGATGGAGCTGGGCTATGAGTTTCTTTTAAAGACCCACCCATGAAGTTCTAACTATAGGCTGGATGGAGTTATCTACAGATGATACTGTGTCATATTAGTATGACGTCTATCCTTCCCTCACTCCCTTCCTTTTCTTTCTCTCTTCCTCCGATTAGCACTTATTGAGTGCTGGCTACAGAATAAAATTTGTATTTTGGAAGTGGGGGACACGTAGACAGATATGTACACGTGTTTTTGTAGCTGTGACACCAACATGACAGAAGACAGACAGGGATGGTGGGTTCCAACTAAGAGAAGGGTGGGGGTTAGTCAGGAAAGACGTCTCAGAAGTCTTGCTTTTTCAAGGGCATTGGTATTCTTTGGTTTCCTCTTTAATCTGATCTCTCTCACTATTATGACAACAACAGAAATAGGGTGTAACTCTTTGTTTTAGTTTGAATTTTCCCTGAGAGCAGAGGCATGTTAGTTTGTTAGGACTGCCATAAAAGACGTACTACAGACTCGGCAGTTTAAACAACAGAAATGTATTGATGCACAGTTCTGGAGGATGGAAGTACAAGAGAAAGGTGTTGGAAGGGTTGGTTCCTTCTGGGACCTGTGAGGGAAGGACCTGCTCCAGGTCTTTCTCCTGGGCTCATAGATGGCCGTCTTCTTGTCCATTGCGTGTTCTCCCTATATGGACATGTCTGTGTTCAAATTTCTCTTTTTGTGACATCAGTCATAATGCATTAGGTTGCACTATCATAACATCATGTTATCTAATTACACCTGCAATGACATTTCTAAATAAGATCACATTCTGAAGTCCTTTGAGTTGAGACTTCAACATATGAATTTGGAGTGGGGCAAGGGCACAATTCAACCTTTAACAAGAGGCTTTGGAAAAAATCTGAATCAGGAAAAAAGCCGAGAGTCTCCCACAGAATGAGCCTGAGATAGGATACAAGCAACATGCGTAGAACCACTGCAGCTGTGTGGAAAGCAGGAGGGCCAGGCATCACCTACCACTCTGCTAGGAAGACAGTTTCTTCAGAGATGCTTTGTTTCTTCACCATTTGCCTGACTTGGACTGAGCTTTTTCTAATATTCTGGCCTCTAGGGGAATTGGAAAAACTGACATGGTTAATGTGGATCTCCATAATACTGCCAGATACATAGCTTAGCCAGCAGGCTGGTGATTGAAAACACCTTAAATGGGATTAAAAGCCTTCTAGATATTTCAAACAGCAACTACCTGCTGTGACAGCCAGTAGGGACACTACGTTATTAGAAACACCATCTTGCTTGGGGAGATGAAGTCTCCCAATACTCAATTAGCAAAGGCTAAAATTTAAAAAATAAAAAGTGTGTAGGGATTGAAAATGCAGCCATGTGTTGCTTAACAAAAGAGATACGTCCTGAGGAATGCACTGTTAGGAGATTCTGTTGTCACGTGAACATCATCAAGTGTGCTTACACAATTGTAGATGGTATAGCCTACTGTAGACCTAGACTATGTGATGTAGCCTATTGTGCCTAGGTTGCACACCTATATAGCATGTTACTATATAGTAGATAATGGCATAACACAGTAGCATTTGTGTATCTAAACATAGACAAGGTACAGTAAAAGTACAGTATTGCATATCATATATATTATAATCTCATGGGATTGCCCTCATATATGCAGTCTGTCATTGGCCAAAACTGAAATGTTGTAATGTGGCACATGACTGTATGTGCTCAGTAGAAACTCTTAGATATAGACTGTAGTGGATCAACTAAATTTGTTTACCCAATATGACTTGAGCACCTACTATGTCCCAGGCTTTATTCTAGGTACACATTAGTAAAGAAACAAGGAAAACCCTTGTCCTCTTGAAACCTAGGTTCTAGATGCCACTTGTTATCCTCTGTCGCTTACTTATGAGTATTATTTAAATGATAATATTAAACCCCATCAAAATCAATATTTCAGACAAGGAAGAGGTTATAACCAATGAAGTATTTTAGAGGGAATACTTCAAAAATATTGCAATGGATTTTTTCTGTGGTAGGTTTATGAATGTTTTTTTATTATTCTTTCCTACTTTTCTGTTTTTCACATTGTCTTTAATAGGCATATGCTATTTTTACATTGAAAAAAAAATTTAAAAATAAGAGTGAAATCCAAGAGGCTTCTTGTCTAGATGAGTTTTACAAAAAGTATTCCCAGCAGGCATAAACTTTGGAATGAGACTACCTTGGGATCTAATCCCAGCACTGCCCCCTTATCAGCTAAGTGATCGTGGGTGCATCACATAACCTTCTATCTTATACATAATTTAATTACAGTGTCATAATCTATAAAACTTGGGGCACTACGTCGAACTCCCAGTTATTAAAAGATAAAACTCAACAGATATAAGCAAACCTAAAACAGTGTTCTGCCCATAGTCGGTGCTCAACATTTGCTGGATTGAGCAGAGAAAGTCCCACTGAGATCAAGCCTGGCACCTTCATGCGCTGCTAGTGAGAATGTAGCTAGAACTCTCATTTTAAAAGAAATACGGCAGTATCCTGAAGAATCAAGCAGATGCCTAACATACATTCTAGCCATTTCGCTTTGGGAGATTTGCCCAAAAAGGTTACAAACTATACTCTTCCTTGTGCACAAATAATCATAGCAACTTTATTTGTAATAGCATATTAAATGAGTGAAATGAGACATAAAATAGTACATACGGTATGGCTCTGTTTATTTAAAAGAACAGTAATAGGAAGCAATTCATGAGTTGCTTCATGATGGGACAGAGATGGAGAAGGGAAAGGTAGGAGGATTATGAGGTGTCAGCTGGAAATCTTTGGGGATTTTATGGATGAGTTTACTATTCTGAATGAGGCGATGGTTCCATGGGTGCGTCAAAGCTTAGGAAATTGTGCACTTTAAATATTTGTGAGTTATTAAGTGTTAATTTTGCTTCGATAAAAATGTTTTAAAAATTAATTTCAAGAGGAAAGCATTATCTGTCACCTTTCTTAATCAGTCTTAGACTTGCTCACAAAGGGAGCAATGAATTAGGTGCCCAGTTAATTGTGAGAATCCTGGCAAGTCTTTTCCTGTGAACTGTGAGGTTGGATTCACAGCAGGGGAAGAGATTTAAATTTCTCATTGCAGCTGGTCTGAAGTTATTAAATTTTAAAGAATGGTATGGATTTCTGTCCAGAACCACAAGACAAAGCTATAAGACAGAGTGCTACATTTCTTGACTGTCAAGAACTGATATAGCGGGCAAGGAAATATAAAATGCCTCATCAAAAAATTAATGCACCCATATTCTAGAGGCTATTGTATCTGGGTGACAAATTTCAGATGATGAAAAGAGATGCAAATGTAAGCCATGTGGGCCGATTTTTTTTCTTTTTAAAGATAAAGCAGTGATACTGATATCACACTTAAATATATGAGTCAAAGTAGGATCTCTCTCTGTTTTTTTTTTTTTAAATAGAAAAACCAGGCTGGCTTTGCCAGGATTAACAATGACAAGTCACAAATCCCAGGAAACAGCAAATAAATTTCGGGGCCAAACTAAAGGACTAGCTTAAATGAATTAATACCTCAACAAGCAGGATCAGAGAGAATTTGTGCTAAGAGACTAAAATATGTCATTTTGTTTCACTCTTGACTAGCAGAGTTGTGAGCCCCATAGTCCTAAGATAAAAGCAAGAATCCTGGGCTGTTTTGCTAATGGCTATTAGCCATTTAAAGACACAGAGACATTGCGCATTTGTGGGGTATCTTGTCATTATTTAAAATTGCTTTAGAATATTTTTAACTTTTAAAATGACCCTGGAAAAAACTTAAGTGGCATCCAGATTAGTTCCTTTACTCAAGCTGACCTGACTTCGCCAAATGTTCAGTACATTCATTCCAGTGAGACTGAGGAACATGCAGATGCCTTCAGCTTTGCACTGTCTGATGGAGTCAACGAGGCGGAGGATGCTGTTTTGCTGGGTCATATTTGATTTGACCTGGAATGGTTGCCCAAGCCCCCAGAATCATGCAGTAAGTTTTGTTGTTGCCCAGCGGCTAAAGTGGTACATGAGAAGTTAGAATTATAGATACTAGAGTCAAAAGGGCCCTGGAAGAATATCCAGCGAAGTTATCAAGGCCAGAAATAGCTCACCAGTCACAGGAACAAGGCTATATGTAGCCAAGTCCTAGGAATCTAGTGCTCAAAAGCTAAAGCATCACACGGTCTTAGGAATGAGGGCAGGTTTTCAGAAAGGACTCGGACACTATTGGAGAGAGACATAAACATGAGAGAGGGACTTGGAGGAAAAAGCAGTGGCTCTACCTTTCACAGATTTTACCTGCAACCACAAATCCCAGGAGAAAGGAGAGTACCATTTATTGAACACCTGCCATTGACTTGGCACATCGAAGCCTTGATAATCAAGTTAACAAGTGCTCCCACAGAACATATGCTGCTGGAGAGATCTGCCAGCAACTCTAGCACAAGGTCCTCGAGTGCAGGATATAAACGCTCCAAGAAAACTACACAGGCCTCTCAATCTGTGAGAGTACGGCATCTCCCTAGCCTTAGAGTCATGGCTGGCATGTTGATATTCTGTCTCTGCTTCTCTCTTCCCCTTACAACAGGTATCCAGATTAGTTCCTTTACTCAAGCTGACCTGACTTCGCGAAATGTTCAGTACATTCATTTCAGTGAGACTGAGGAACACACAGATGCCTTCAGCTTTGCACTGTCTGATGGAATCAACGAGGTAGGGGAGGCACTGGCTTCCATCACTGGGTGTGTTGATTCCTTGCCATCTTTCTTGGAAGGAGTCGGCAGAGCAATGGTTGAGAAGAGGGCTTCATTTTCCTCTGCTCTCTGCCAAGGGATAGGGGCAGCATCCACACCACCTGGGCTTTTACTCAAGAATACTCTGGGCTCCTGGTTAGTCGGTTGTGCCTGGAATGGTGTGAAAGTGAAAGCAGGGAGCACCTACCTTGAACTTGTTGGGTAGGTGCTGGGTCAGGCGTCCCACTTGCATCCTTCTGTTGTCCTAGGTGACTCAGACCTTCCATATCACCATTCGCCCTGTGGATGATTCATTGCCCATTGTGCAGAATGCTGGGATGCGGGTGCAGGAGGGTGTGAGGAAGACCATCACAGAGTTTGAGCTCAAGGCGATGGATGCAGACACAGAGGTAAGACTGCTCCCCTGGGTTCTCCTGCTAAATAAGAGGTTGCAACTCTTGCTTTACAGCTGTGCATCCTGAAGGCAGGGTGGTAAGTGCAAGTATCCCTGAAGGACTAAAAGACAGAAGATACCATGGCCTTCTGGAAAAGATATACTAACATATTTGAGATCAAATAGTTTTAAATTCTTTCTGAAATCATAGATGCATTCATTCCCTCCCCTGATTACATGTGATTGTCCTTTTAAGATGCTGATTTTTTATTAGAATTCACAGAAAATCAGGTAAATGACATTTCACTCAGTGTTCTTGTTATTCCTGTTAGAGAGAATAGGGGTTTCTTTACCTATATATCTTTCCCTTCTTTTCACTTCCTTCTTCCACACTTTTCTGATGGCAACTAATTATTACAGTCAAAGCCTTCTCAAAGACTAGGCTTTATACAGTAAAGCAAGGCATGTGGAAACTAAGCCCTTATTCTCATGCCTACAGATCCAAGCATCTCACATTCTGACATGACTTAGCTCACATGAAAGCATAACACCACACTTACTAATTAGTTCCATGTCTCCCCTTCTCTGTGCCAGCACTCATTCATTTATTCAATCTTTCATCAAATATCAATACCTCTTAGGTTCTAGACTCTGCCTTAGATGCTAAAGACAGAGTTGTAAGTAAAACAGATAACGTTCCAGGCTTAGGGAGTTTACATCCTTTGGTTGAAGTGAAATGATAAAGAAAGAAGGAACATATCATATTAGATATGACAAGTGCTATGAAGAAAAATAAAGCCAGGTGAGAAGAGTGATTGGTGGGTGTACTGTTATAGACAGAATGTCAGGAAAGTCCTCTCTGAGGGGGTCACATTTGAGCATTGATATTGCTAAGCAAAAGAGCATGCTATGCAGTTATCTAGGAGAATTTACTTTCCAGGCAGAGGAATCACAAGTGCAAAGGTGCTGTGGTCAAGTATGCTTAGACCCTGGAAATAACTACAACATAGGTTGCAAAAGGCCAAGAGGCTGAAACCTAGTGAGCAAGCAGGAGAGAAGAATGAGGCTGAGAGAAGACCTGAGATCAGGTCACTGAGGGCCTTGTGCTCAAATCAGGCCTTGGCATCTCATTCTAAATTGGTGGGAAGCCACTGAAAAGCCTCTTTCTTTTTCCTTCTACAGGTCACCTTAGAAGCAGCAATGAAAAATGAGAAATTTGCTTCTATTCTAATGCATATGGGAGTCTGTATATAAGAGTTGTAGAAAATGCAGAAAATTGGGGTTAAAAGGAGATTAATAGTTTAAAAGGTCTATTTCCTATCATCTTGGTAGAGATTAAAATTTAGGCTTCCTTCTGTGACCTGAATAAAGCAAATTTAAATGTTTCAGTCTTATAGCTAAAGGTATAGTAAACAATACGGCTTTTCTTTTTAGCTTTATTTTAGTGTCTATGAACAATGTAATTCTGGTTTTATAAATGTCTTCAGGCTCTGCTGCCCATGGCCGGCTGCTGGCCATCACTCACTCATCTGGTTTCTGTCATGAACATCCCTCCCCACTGACTTTTTCCCTCTGGACAGGCCGAGTCTGTGACATTCACCATTGTGCAGCCCCCGCGCCATGGTGCCATTGAGCGAGCCGCAAAAGGGCAGCATTTCCACCTTGCCTCCACCTTCACCATGGAAGACATCTACCAGAACAGGGTCAGCTACAGCCATGATGGTAGCAACTCCCTCAAGGACTGGTTCACCTTCACTGTTTCTGATGGGACAAACCCCTTCTTTATCATTAAGGAAGGAGGAAAAGAGGTGAGAGGTGGAGGAGTGAAGGAGAAAGTCTTGCAAGGCATGCCTGAGGCAGAACATGGGTTTTTGCATCAAGCATAGTGTTGAGTTCTTGTTCTGTCACTAGCTAGTAGATTGGCCATGAGCAAATTACTTTTCTAAGCCTCAGTTTTTTTTATCTGTAAAATGGGAAATAATTAGCTTAAGGATCCAAGGAGGTCATTCACATATAGTGCTTAACACTGTTAGCAAATAGTAAGCACCCAATAAAAGGTGATTGTTGTTGATATCTCCATTATTTCTGGTGATTGTTGTTGTCATCATTATTTCTGGTGATCCCTGTTGATATCACCATTATTTCTAGTGATTGTTGCTATTGATGTCACCATTATTTCTAGTGATCCTTGTTGATATCACCATTATTTCTGGTGATTGTTGTTATTGATATCATTATTATTTCTGGTGATACTTGTTGATATCACCATTATTTCTGGTGATTGTTGTTCTTGTCACCATTATTTCTGGTGTTCAGTGTTGTTGATATTACCATTATTTCTGATGGTTGTTGTTGATGTCACCATTGTTTCTGGTGATCGTTGTTGATGTCACCATTATCTTGCAATCGTTTTGTTAAATTAGAATTATTTCTGGTATTCATTGTTGACATTATCATTATTTCTTTTTTCTCCTTTGCCCACCCTTTCTTCACTCTTTACATTTTCTTTCATCTGGTTTTTGAATAATATGTGACTCTAAATTATCTTTCTCTTTTTGGACTAAGTTCCCTCAGTCCAACCAGAGTTTCTCAGTCTTTGAGAAATGACTCAACCAATTAACAGTGGTTAAGAATGTGGCTTTTCGCCTAAAAGATATTGATTTAATTCTAGCCTTGTCACTTATAAACTGGATGTATTCGTAAATCATGTAAACTTCCTAAACTTCAGCTTTTCTATCTGTAAGATGAAAATGACAGCTATTCTTCTCATGTACATCAAGCACTTAGCCCAGTTCCTAGCACACAAGGAACATTGCATACACTGAAGCTATAATCATCCTCCTCCTCCTCATCATCATCATTGCCATCATTTTAGGACCAGCTTATGAAACTTCAACATTTTCTCTTGAGATCATCCAACTGGCAAGCTTTACTTTCTAAAGGAATTGCTGTCTTCCAAGTGTCCAGAAGAAGCTTTAAGATTTCCCTCCTACCACCTTTCCTCATTTCACTCATTCCTTCTTCTGCAGCCAGGTCTCCTGCAGTGCCATACACTTCCCCCTGATAAAAGCTGCACTCCAGTGAAAGGTGGGCCCAAGAGCACCTCTGTGCTCCACACACCTGCGTCTGCCTGGGCAGAAGCAGCGTTAGTGAGCAGCATGTGGACCCCCAGGATAGCATCAAGATCCACCACTCAGTTCTGCAGAGTTCCTTTTTTACTTTCGCAGTGAATGATTATTTTTCTGGAAGCAAGATTCTCCCATGTCCTTTAGAGATAAACAGGCGGTGAGAAGGTTATTCTCAGTTGGCTGGCGTGTCCATGGATGACTCTGGGGATTTCCTGCCATTTCGGTGTCTGCACTGCATCAACACCTGGCAGGTCATCACTTGTGTTTTTGTCCTCCCAAACTATAGCTGCTCCCTAGTTAGTTTGACTTTCAAAAAAGAACAAAGATTTCAGGATGCATCATCAAGAGAGCTGTTCTTTTATAAACATAAAAGTTCACAGCAGGTCTCTCAAGAGACCTTGCCATTTAAAAAGCAGAAATCACTTAGAAGGTGGGCTATAGGAGACTGAAAATCCAACACCTTGTTGTCCTGTGTTCCAGCTTGCTGTGTCCACACAGGAGCTGCAAGGCACTGCTCCAACTCACTGTGTGTGTTGAGTGTGTGCATGTGGGTGCGTGTGTGTATGTGCCTGTGGAAATGGGGTCGTACACTCAGCTTCCTTTTAACTTTTCCCACAAATGCTTTGCTTGATTTCCTCTGCCCTTTACTCTTACATAGAGGAGACTTTCTTAAAGCAAACAACAACAAAAACAGAAAGAAAAAAAAAGAAAAGACTATCTCTTTCCATGAAAACCTCTTTTCACACTTGGCATGATCCCACCTGGAGATTTTGAAATTCACATTTTAACAATGATTTTTGTCATGAAAACTTTAACAAGGGGTTATTGAAAGGAAAAATACTTTGTTGTTTCATCTCAGGGCAATATTGAACTCAATTGAAGAAGGCACAGGTGTATAAAAATCAGCACCACAGCAGGTGAGATTCCAGCAGGTGCCATTTGCTCTTTGCTTTTCTCCTCACGTTGTTCTCACTGTATCATTCAGCATTCTCCCATTGGCCTCATGTCAGGTGATGAGGGAGGATCACTGACCTAGCTGCCCATCCTTCAGCTCAGAAGTGTCAACAGATTTTAGGGTCCCAGCTTTGCAGGTCCTGTGCCCAGCTTACTGCAGGTGCCTGTGAATGATGAGTCTTCTCTTCTGGTCTTCCCAACAGATTATGACAGCAGCACCTCAACAGTTCCGAGTAGACATCCTCCCAGTAGATGATGGCACCCCTAGAATTGTCACCAACCTGGGGCTCCAGTGGCTGGAATATATGGATGGCAAGGTAAGGTCTGTCCCATCTGTCATAGTTGCACGACCCAATGTGGGCTACGTCCTTATTCATAACAATGACTTTTGAACAGAACTCCCATTCAACCCACATGTGTTTCCCTCCCTGAATAAGCTGATTTTCCTGAGCTTGGTGAGCTCCATGAGTTTGGTTAGGATTGTTAAATGATCAAGATTGTGCAGGGTCAATAAGGAGTGTGTGTAGTTTAAGAGACTCTTACAAAAAAAAACCCTAAAATATAGTAGGTCAATCAATATAGAATTTTATTTATTTTCTCTCTTGTGGGATATAAGTAAGTGGGCCACCTAGGGCTCTACATGACCACCTAGAGGTGCAGACCCTCCCTACCTCATTGTTCTGCCATTACTAGATTGTTGCTGACGACATAACCAAACCCCTTTAGAAATTCATCAGTACATAAGTGGCCCTTCATATCTATAGGTTCCACATATGCAGATTCAACCAACAATGGCTTGACAAAATTCAAAGAAAAAAATACAGATTTTAAAGTACAGTCTAACAAGTGTTTACCTAGCATTTATAGTGTATTATATTACATGTAAGTAACTAGAGATGATTTAAAGTATAGGAGGATGTGCATGGGTTATGTGCAAATACTATACCATTTTGTGATTCCCAAAGATACAGAGGGACAACAGTACCAGCACATGGGAAGGTAAATCAGAGAAGGGCAAAGAACTTTGTGCTAAGCAAGGAATACAGAAATTGGACACATCCATTCCCAACCAACCTAGGGAACATAGTGAGACTTTGTCTGTACAAAAAAGTCAGAAAATAAGCCTGGTGTGATGGTACATGCCTGTAGTCCCAGCTACTCGGTAGGTCAAGGTGGAAGGATCATCTGAGCCTAGGTGGTTGAGGGTGTAGTGAGCTGTGATCATGTCACTGCACTCCAGCCTGGGCAACTGAAGACCCCAACCCACAGAAGGGAGGAAGCAGGGGGGGAGAGAGAAGAAAGAGATTGAACACAACCCTTGTACTCATGTTCTATTGGCAAGAAATCTGTCAAATGGCCCCACTTGCATGGAAGGTTGGGAGAATAAGACCCCAACCCAAAGAGAGAGAGAGAGAAAAAAGGAAAGGAATGGAAGGGAAGGCAAGGGAGGGAAGAAGGGAGGGAGGGATGGAGGAAGAGAAAGAAAGAGAGAGAGAGAGAGAGAAAGAGAAAGAAAGAAAGAAAGAACTAAAAAAAAGAAAAAAAGAAAGAGAAAAATATATCCCTTGTACTCACATCATATTAACAAGAAATCGATCATACGGCCCCAAATGTTGCATAAAAGTTTGAGAAAATGTCTCTAGCTGGGCAACAAATGCTCAGCTAAAACATTATTCACTAGAAGAAAGGGAGATTGGATCTTGGAAAACCTTTAGTATCTGCCATAGATGGGAAAGAAACAGCCATTTTTGTAGGTGAGTGTGGTAAGGTGAATTTAGAAATTTCCTTCTTTTTCTCCTAATTCCCCAGTTGGTCATTGTAAGGTATATGGTATAATTGGTAATTATAAAATAATATGATAATCATATGAAGCACTCTTTCCATCCCCACCCAAACACACACAGTTTTTTGGTTCCAATGAGAACTGACTTTCTACTTTGGCAGTGGTGTTCCCTCTAGGATGTGGCTTTTGGCATCCCCATGGAGCTGGGTCATTGGTTGTATGTATGGCTGTTGCTCTGTAGCTTCTTGCTGAACTGGTTGGGTTCTCAAAAATACATAAACCACAGTTAGAGCAGATTCCTCTCATGACTTATTTGATTTTTTTTCCCTCCATATTCAGCACAGTCCCATTCTCTTTTCAACACTCTCTAGTTGGGTTTCTACCTCCTGTTCCTACTCTACTGCAGTGACTGTTATTAGAGTCCATTTTGTCAAATCCAAAGGTCAATTATTTGTCCTTACCTTACTAGACTACAAATACTCAATACTGTTGACCACCCCCTATCTTCTTCCAAACCTGGCTCTCACTAAATATTTACTGAATGACTGAGTGAATGAGTGAATTAAAGTTCAGCCAGTATATTTGGGAAATATCAGGGTACCGTATGTTTATCTTACGTGATTTCAAACATTTTAATTGAGTCCTATAAAGTAGAACATGGCCAACTTGTCTGCACTGAATCATTCTTTCAAAGTTCCAAATTCTTTTCAAGTCTCAGCTTCAATCCCTCAATGCCAGATGAAATTCATCTCTCCCTCTCTTAAGAAGTATATGGCACTCTTTTTATATCTTCCATTATAGCTCCTGCCACATTGACCTTGCCCAGGAGCCTTTCTTTAAAGATGTGAATATCTCGAGGGCTGAGGCTGGGATTATTTCCATCCTCATGGCCTCTCCAATCCTGACAGAGTTTTCAATGCAGTAAATGCACTCAGTAAATCATTGTTGAACTGAATTAAATCTGAGTCAGAGGGTCTTGTTCCTGCTTTATTCTCACCTCAGGAATTAAATGTAATGGGTTTCTATTCCAGGCAACCAACCTGATCACCAAGAAGGAACTGCTGACTATGGACCCAGACACTGAGGATGCACAGCTTGTCTATGAGATAACGACGGCCCCCAAGCATGGCTATGTAGAGAACAAGCTGCAGCCTGGCAGAGCTGCCGCCACGTTCACCCAGGGTGGGGACTTGGGGACATCAGGGAGGAGAAGTCTATCCTAATGCCACTCTCCCTATCTCCCCAGTCTCACAGCCACTTCCTGTTACTCATGCCTAAGTCACCCATTTGCAAACAAATAGACCTTTTTAGTGTCTAGCTGTCCAGTTTATGAATTTTACTTCTGATTTTCTGTTACTCTGAACTATGGCAAAAGAAAATTCATCCTGCTTTCTCAGCTCCCAATTGCTTAAGTTTTGACTAGGTTTTCTTTTCTGTTACTCTAAACTATGGCAAAGGAAAATTTATCATGCTTTCTCAGCTCGCAATTGCTTTAAGTTTTGGCTAGTTTTTCTGGAAGAGTACATGATATTGCTTTGTTATTTTTTCTTTCTTTTTTTTTATTTCAATAGTTTTGAGGGATACAAATAGTTTTTGGTCTGGGCTTTAAGTGTACCCACCAACCCTACTTGTGTACATTGTACCCGACAGATGATTTTTTTTTATCCCTCCACTTCTTCCCCTCCTCCCCCTTCTAAGTCTCCAGTGTCCATTGTACCATTCTCTGTATCTTTGCAGACCCTTAGTTTAGCTCCCACTTATAAGTGAGAACATGTAGTGTTTGGTTTTCTGTTCCTGAGTTAGTTCACTTAGGATGATATTCTCCAATTCCATCCAAGTTGCTGCAAAAGATGTGATTTCATTCCTCTTGATGACTAAGTAGTATTCCATAGTATAGATACCACATTTTCATTATCCGCTGTTCAGTTAGTGGGCACTTAGGTTGATTTCACATCTTTACTATTGTGAATTGTGCCATGATGAACATGCAGGTGCAGTTGTCTTTTTCATGTAAGAAAAACGATCTCTGTTCTTTTGGGTATGATTTTTTTTTTTGAAGTGACATCATCAACAAAACAAAAAATAACTGGACTTTATGAAAGACCTGTGATCCTGTGTGGTTTATTTTTTGTTCTTTAAGGATTACAGACTTTTTTCTTTCTGTCTTCAACCAAGAAATTAAAATAAATGTGTGTAGATTGCTCAGCAGAGATTCTTTCCTGCTTTGAATCATATCACGCAGTCATTTTGTGTCCATGTCTTATGAGCTTGTCAGATACCTTTTGACGTCTTTTGAGGGTGGACCTGTTAGGAGCAGTCATTGCAGAAGTGCCCATTGAAATTCATGCTCCACATTTCCTTTTTTTCTCCCTATTCTCTCTTAATGACTTTTTAGCTGTGCTTTCTGTATAGGCTGTTTTAATCCAAACTAAGCTGTTCTTATTAGCACATAACTTCCCAGGAACTTTCTTTAGAAGGAATTAGGTCTTTGTATGAGGATGGGGTTCAAAGGTTTGTCTCTGTCAACTCTTGGATATGCTTTTCAACATTTCAAATATGTTGACTGAAGTGCTTTTTGTCAGGACCCTAGATTCTTACTTTGTAATAGCATGAGGGTATTCTCAATACATAAAAACAGATATTTTATTACACAGAAATACAAAATTTTATTTTGAAATATGGCAGAAACATTTATTTTTTAGACTTCTATACTTCTGGTTCTTGGGAAAATAAATTTTGTCTAACTCACTAGAAGAATAAATTGACCATGTTGGTGTGGGAATCTATTAGGCTGTCGTTACATTCCTGGATTGACTCAGTGAATTCACAGAGAGTCTTTTTTCTCACAGAGGATGTGAACTTGGGATTGATTCGTTACATGCTGCGTGAGGAGAAGATCCATGAAATGATGGATAGTTTTCAGTTTCTGGTGAAAGATAGTAAACCCAATGTGGTCAATGACAACATCTTCCATATCCAGTGGTCCCTCATCAGCTTTAAATATACCAGGTACAAGTGTTATTGTTTTTTTTCATTCTTGAGAAATGAGTCAGGTAAGCAGAGGGAGTCAGGATAGAGCATGCTGGAGTCAGCTCTAGTCACCTGTTGGTGATGGTAACAGTGATGATGATGATGGCAGTGATAAAAATAAAAATAAAGCCGGGCTCGGTGGCTCAGCCTGTAATCCTGCGCCTTTGGGAGGCTGAGGTAAGTGGATTGCCTGAACCCGCGGATTCGAGACCTGCCTGGGCAGGCGAGACCTCATCTCTACAATAAATTTAAAAAAAAAAAATTAGCTGGGCGTGGTAGCGTGCGCCTGTAGTTCCAGCTACTTGGAAAGCTGAGGCAGAAGGATCGCCGGAGCCCAGCAGGTCGAGGCTGCGGTAGCCAGGAGTGGCCACTGCACTCCAGTCTGGGCGACAGAGTGAGACTCCAACTCAAAATAAATAAATAAATAAATAAATAAATACAAATAAAAATAACACCAAATATTATTGAATGTTGTATGTGCCATGCACTGCACTAGGTACTTGACATACATTATCTTATTTAATATTTGAATTGTGAGATGAATTCTATTTTTATCCCTACAGCAGCAATTAATAGAACCAGAAAGAGGTTAAGTAACTTGCCTACAATCACATAGCTGATAAGCAGTCAGACCAGGTTATAAGCCTGGTGATTCTAACCATGTGCTTTACTGTCTCGCATACAGGTATTTTTGTTTCTGTCTTCAAGTTTTAGAAGGTAATTTGGTAGAACTTATAGAAAAAATAAATCAACTTTCAAGTTGAGAAAACAATCACTGGCCCACACTACCAGTATCTTTGCTTTCCATCTTTACTCTCCTTGTTTTCTATTTGTGTTCTCCCCAGCTCCTTTGTTTTTTTATAAGAATATATACCTTTAAGGGAAAATGCATGGCTTAATGTTGACAGCATTTTAAGACGCTTTCCTAATCTGCTGGGAAGTTAGAGGCAAACAAAGAGATGCCAATTGGTAAAGGTGGTGGGCAAACATGGTATTGATTGTATAGGTTAAATCAGAACTGAGATGATCATTTTTCTGAGGGAAATATCCCTTAAGTCTACAGTTCAGAGACTCATTACTCTAAGAAACCAACTTCATGATAATTCAGATAAAAATTGGAATGTGAGGGGAAAAGGGAAAGTTTAAAAGCCTGATTTCATGTGCCCCAGACTCAGAGTATTCCACTCTTACACACTTTTAGAGAATTAGAGGAAAATTAGAATCAACTTTTATACAAGGGGGGCCTCCCCCCCAAATCTGAATTACCTTTTAGAGAGCAGGCCCCTTGTAATACACTCGGATTTTGTTCCTCCAGATCAAATGGTCAACCAAAGTTTTTATCTGGAAGTTTTGAAAAGGTTGTATCATAATTTGCAGAAGAAATGTCCCGAGTTGTGGTACACAGGTGGTTGGTTCTTCCACCATGACAACATACCTGTCCACACCATGTTGAGTGTTCAGCGGTTTTTGACTTTTTATTTGTTTCCCTGGATGAAAAAAGTCTTCAAGGGGAAACATTTTGTTGATGTGGAAGAGGTGAAACAAAAAATGACAGAAGCACTAAAAGACATCAAAATTAACGAGTTTAAAAAGTGTTTTGAGCAGTTGAAAAAGCATCTTAATAGATGTATTGCATCAGATAGAGAGTACTTTGAAGGTGACTGAAGTTCAAACGTAAGAATAAATATACAGTTTTTTATAAATAAATTCTGAGATTTGGGGTCCCCCTTGTATGTATAATGCTGTTATTTACCTCTTGATTGTTTCCCCTTCAAAAATAAATAAATTTAATAAAATCAGTCCCTTTTTCTGGACAACTCTCTAACATTTAATGGACTAAATGTTAGAGAGGGTCCTGAAGCCAGTATCGAGGACTTACCTCTCTGAGGCAGCAAGACCCACACCCAGTTCCAGTGGCCATCTTCGGTGGTAACAAGCAAAGCCCAGGTCAAACCCTACTCTCCTGTGGCCTTTCTGAACCTAGGTCTCATCATGAAGTAATAACACATGAATAGTTGGCCTTCTACTTTGCAAGCAGTAGAAATTCTGAGCCACAAGCTAAATTAATCCAATCCCTGTCCATTGTCCTAAACCTCTGTGTGTCCAGCATCTTTGCTACCCAGGCTTGACTCCTGATCAGATTCTTAACTCTGGCTCTGCCCTATCTCCTTCAGATACTTCCTGGAGATACGGTCCAGCCATTCCCACCTGAGCTAAGTCATGAGTTGCTTTCCAAGCAGCTTTCTTCCCTAAGAGCCCCATAATGTATTGATTACTCTACCACACTAGGGAGAGATTGTTTGTCCCTTCTCTCCGTTCTGAAATCTGGAGTTCACAGCTCTTATGTGCTGTCCATCTCCAAGTGACTCTCAACTCACTTTCCAAGTCAGACAGGCAAAATTCTGCATCCATAGCTTCCTTGTTCATTTGTGATCTGACCATTCCAGGTGAACATGTTCCCTCAGTTTACAACTTGAATTCTTAAAGGAACCAAACTCCCTCTTCTCTGACTGTCTAATGCCAGTAACCATATAGAAGAGATTGTCATTAAGCACATGGTTTCTTCACAGCCATGGGACAGATTTTCAGAGTCTGCCTTTTTATGTGCTTCTAGCTACAATGTCAGTGAGAAGGCGGGGTCTGTCAGTGTCACGGTGCAGAGGACTGGGAACCTGAACCAGTATGCCATCGTCCTGTGTCGCACTGAACAAGGCACTGCCAGCTCCAGCTCCAGGGCTAGCTCCCGCCCTGGACAGCAGGACTACGTGGAGTATGCTGGTCAGGTAGGTGGGGCACGGCATCCAATTCCTCAGTGCCGGGCAGGTTCCAGCAAGAGCTGGGATATGGTTACAGGGTTCTGTAATCCTGTCCCACTTCCTCCCCCCTTCTTTTCCATGAGCATCCTTCCTCAAGTAGTTCTCCTATGTTCCCTTCCCATGGTCCTCTGTTCTTTATGGTCTCTAATTCCCGTTGACTGAAACTATTATCTAGCTTCTCAGTCTTGACATGTTGCTTCATGACAAAAAGAAGTCTCATAGCTTCATGTTCTACACTCAGCCTCTTGTGTCCTATCCCTTCCACCTTCTCACCTGAAGGGAGGGAAGAGACTGTATAAGGTGACCTGCTAGGAAGCCCTTGGAACATGCCAAGTGAGAGATGAGGACATCTTGGGCTTCAGTTATGAAGTGAAGTCAAAGAGAAGTGGGTGACTTTAACAGATGGGGAAGAACTGATAGAATTTGGCAGTGGATTGATTGACGGTGGGGCAGAAGATGATGGCCCTTACTAGGAGGGAACAGGTTTGACAGAGTTTGGTGCTCATGACTTTGCTTTGAACATGTTGAGTGGAATTGCCGTAGAAACAGCGAGGTGATCACTACATAGGGTAGGGAATGCAGAGAGAAGTCTGGGGTAGAGAGAAAAATTTGCAGGTCACCCTACACACTTCTGGTGTTTAGCACCAGGATGACCATGAGAAAAGGAGAGAGTGAAAGCAGAAGATGAAGGAGGACTGAAACAGTCAACCCCTGTCTGGTAGGGCTCCATATTGTTATCGGTTGTGTAGGACACAATGCCTGTGCTTAGTAAGTTTTCATTAACTGTTTTTCAAAGCTTTTTTTAAATTCTTTGGCAACACAAATCTGTGTAAAGAGAAGTGGTTGCCATTCTTTAATTGGGGCATTTTAGCAGGACTAAGCTAAGGCCTCTTATGTCAAATGTAAGGAATCAGAAAAGAACAGATATGCTAAAGAGTCTTTTAGCAGAATGATAAGACAGAGCATATTTCTGTGTTTTTCATGAATAGACAAATTGCTGGCCATGTGTTCTAGATCTTAAAGAGAGCTCTATTGAGGGTTTCATTTCACAGGGGATGTTTTGAAATACGGAGTTGAATAAAAACAATTTGATTAGTTGAGTTGATTAGATATGCACTAATAATTTTTTGTTTTATTAAAATTGTGTGCTTTTCAGAATTATGTGTTTCTAGAAATGTGTGACTATTTTCTGCATGTTTCAGCTGTCTCAGTTTACACAAAGTACAGCCCAGGACCATTTCCTACCCTTTTAGTTTTAGCCAGGTCAATAGTCTTGGTTTCATGTGAAGGTTTTATCTTTCTTCTTTGTTTTGTTTAGACAAAGCAAATCCAGAATAAATCCCTGTGAGTTCACAATTGTGTGCATATAAAGTAATTTCTCAGTTTTGTACCAGGCTAAATTCATTCACATTATAGTTCTAGTCCATTTTAATGGCAAAGAATTTAGCCAAATATAAAGTTAAAATTGGTCTGACTTGTTTATAATATAACTTTCTATAGATTTAAACTCCATGATTCAGTACTCTGAAATTCTATGTCAAGTCCAGCTGTACAAGTAGTATGGTGATGGTAGCGATAATGTCTTCTGTATGTTAGTGCTTTCATTATACAAGACCTCTCTAGTCCTCTCAGTAAGTATGAGAAGCAAGAGTGTTATTACTATTAGTTAGCTGATAAGGAGTCTGATGTTTATCAAGTTTCATAGCCTTATCAAGCTTGACAGTGACAGAACCAGACTTGGAAACAGAACTTCTTACTCTGGGGCCAGAGCTATTTGCAGCTAGACTTGCCACAGATGGAAAGGGAACTGAGAGATGCAGTGATGACTGTTGCAGTCCCAAGTGAGATGATAACACAGGCTATGAGTGATCATTCCATGTTCTTCTACAACCACCAATTGGTAGGAGATGTCTTTGCTCTCCTTTGCCTTCCTATCCAATAGCCCCCCATCCAGGTTAAGAGGTGGCTGAATGCTCTAGGTGGCACAGCGGGGAGCTGAGCTGGAGAGCCAGCTGTCTCAGTCAGTGCTCTACACTGGGTTTGGGTGCTCTTTTCCCAGGACTCCCTGGGGGAACCAAGCAGGGGAAGGTGAGGTACAGCTTAACTCTGTGTTTCCTGTGTGACAGGTGCAGTTTGATGAGCGAGAGGATACCAAGTCCTGTACCATTGTCATCAACGATGATGATGTGTTTGAGAATGTCGAGAGCTTCATTGTGGAGCTCAGCATGCCAGCTTATGCCCTGCTGGGGGCGTTCACCCGGGCTAAGGTCATAATCAATGACACTGAGGATGAACCCACCTTAGAGTTTGACAAGAAGACCTACCGGGTCAACGAGAGTGCTGGTTTTCTATTTGCACCTATTGAAAGAAAAGGTCTGTTGGTGCCAAGGGTGACAAAGAACTATAATAATAGCTAGCATTCATTGAGTTCCTATTAAGTACCAAGTGTTCATCTGTTATATTAACTCACATGCATGAGTACTTTATAGGTATTAACTCATTTAATCCCCCAAACAACCCTAATGATGGTTCTACCCATGGTACCATCAGAAGGTCGCTCTTCTTAGTTCAAGTTGTTAGAGCTCTGTTTATTCTTAAACCAAAATAGAAGTCTGGTTATATTTAGCCTTGCAAATTATGCATGAATCAGTATTCTTAATCAATCACCAAAACATAAAATATTTAGTAACCTTGGTCAAGGAGAAAAGTTGCAGTTTATAAGTACTGGCTTTTCATCTTAGTTCTTGGAAAACAGAAATGTGCTCAAAGGTGTACCTATGTAGAACTTAGATGAGGAATAAACTATGTGCAAGAAACAAAGGGCAATTCTTTTGTTTTTTAATTGGCACATAATAATAATTGTGCATGTTTATAAAAGGGTAATCAAAACTAAGATCATATGGATTTATGCTTGTATAATGTTGAAACTTTAAAACACATGGAAACTACACCCCCATTCAAAGCAACACCATGACTATAAATGATGATGTCAGGTCTCTTTACTAAATCTGCTGTTGGGGCATTAGTATAACAAATACTGTAGATAATGCAAAACCTTGGTAATGCCACTTGGAAAATAAGCAAGCCCCATTGATTGCTCTGGGCCACTGAGCCAGACTCAGAGCAGGCTGTCACTGAAGGAAGTGGCAGCACTAATAAGTAAAGCCATTTGTACAGAGAGGCAGGTTTTATTTTATGTCTTTCTTTTTTAAAAAATAAGCCTCTTTCTCTCTGGAAATTAAAGCACGAAGTTTATTCAGAAAGGCAGTGAACTATGCACATCACACAACCTTCAGGACACAATTACTGTGCTACTTAAAGTTCCAAATATGTCTCTTATCTCTCCACCCGCTGTGGTCTTAGATGGTGGGCAATGAATGTTGTGAATTGACAGAGTACAAAATTCACAGAACAGGAAATCCATTTTAAGTTGTTTGGTGAAGTATCTGGGGTCCATTCAGTCCTCAAGTGGTTTATACCACAGGCTTAATTCAGAAAGGTTTTCATGACAGAGTTTGAACAGAAATAGTAATGAATGTGTTTAAGGGGAACCTAACCCGTGATGTTACTGGAGACTTTAAAATTTGAGAAGTGCTTAATCAAATGCTTTGGTTTTCTTACCCTTTGTATTTCAGGAGACTCAAGCAGCATAGTATCTGCCATTTGCTACACGGTTCCTAAGTCAGCTATGGGAAGTAGCCTCTATGCCCTAGAATCAGGCTCTGATTTTAAATCTCGAGGGATGTCTGCTGAAAGCCGTGTGATATTTGGGACTGGTGTCACCATGTCTACTTGTGACATCATGCTCATTGATGACAGTGAATATGAAGAGGAAGAGGAGTTTGAGATTGCCCTGGCAGATGCTTCTGACAATGCCCGCATTGGAAGGGTGGCAACGGCCAGGGTGTTCATCAGTGGTCCCAATGATGCCTCCACCGTGTCCCTGGGCAACACAGCTTTCACTGTCAGTGAGGATGCAGGTACTGGAGAGCATCCCTGGGCCTCCATCACTTGACTCCTTATCCTTTTCTTGAATAATTTCCTCCTTAAGTTTGAGGATGTCAAGGCACTGAATACTTGAATACTCAGGTATTACACAGTGCTAGACATCTAGGTGTCAAGACCAAGAATGGAAGATAGTGAAGTAGAGAGAGTTCCATCCGCTTTTTTTGCTCTGATTCTTGATGGCAGAGAGGGCTCTGTCTTAGAGCTTCTTGGGTTGACCTCTGTAGTCCAAGGGAGGGCCTGGTATTGAGCATTTTGGCTCGTGATGGCAGGGATTGTGATCTGTTGAGGAAAGAAGTGAGTTATTTCATATGCTGCTAGCTGCTGGATCATACTCCGAAGTTTCAGTGTCTTAACACAGTAGAATTTTCTCATTCACATGACAACCCAAAGCAACCAGTGGGCAGATCTCTTCCACGTGGTATTTGTGGAATTTCAGAGACCAAGGCTCCTTCTCTGTTGTGTTTCTGCAAGGGTCTTGGAGTCCTCTGTGTATAGGCAGGTGTCCTGCTGGCAGAGGAGCAGCAGCTATTCAGAGCATCTACTGACCTACTGATCTGGGCCAGATCAAGACCTTTCACCTCTTTGAAGGCATTTGAAGGGTATTGGGAACAGAATCAGAGCCTCACTCTGTCCCCCAGGCTGGAGTGAAGTGGTACGATCACAGCTCATCATGACCTCGACCTCCTAGGCTCAGCAATCCTCCAGAGTAGCTTAACTACAGGGCGTGTACCACCACACCTGGCTGATTTTTTTTTTAATTTTTTATAGAGATTAGGTCTCACTATGTTGCCTAGACTGGTCTTGAACTACTGGGCTCAAGCAATTCTCCCACTTCGGCCTCTCAGAGTGCTGGGATTACAGACCTGAACTACCACACCCAGCCTGGGAACAAATGTTTGTGAGCACCTACTAAACGTCAGGTGCCATGACCTGTGTGTTCCTTGCATCTTCACTTAGCCTTCTGTGAAGGGATAATCTTACATAGAAGATGAGCATATAGAGACCAGAGAGGTTCACCAAATCATCAGAACTGAAGCAGCTAATGTAATGGCAAAGCTGGGAGAGAGCCCAGACCTTTCTACTGGACCATGCTTCTTTTCCCGAACAACAAATTCCCGGCCATGACCATATGTCACCTCATAGCATACTGAGAAAAATATGCTGATTTTCTATGAGAAAAATGTGGTGATTGATGGGATTTCATGGAACTTTCCTCTGACATTGAGTATGAAAATAGCTAAGTATCTTTAGGACACTTATGACTTCACAGTGGACCAGAAGTAGCTTCATTCCTAGATAAGCAATAAGGACTTGTATTTTACATAATGGTGTATGCTTGGATAAAATAGGAAAATCAACCCATTTAGGAACATGTAATTAGGAACATTCAGCTTCAGGTCCTGCACAGTACCCTGGCTAGTTCCTCCCTAATTGACTATTTTCTGGCTCATCCCTGCAACCCTAGTCTCTGAGCTGCTTCTCCCTGACTAGACTTGAGATGTTTTTCAGTGGACTCTTTCCCTTAAGTACATTGTTCTTCTGTGAACAGTCTCCCTTGTGAAGCACAAGCACAATCCCTTCTAAGGGCTGTCTCCAGCATCACCTCTATGAAGACCTCCTCTAGGGTTTACCTTGATCTTAGTGTCAGGGAAAAGAGGCGTAGTGACACCTCCCAGCCTTCCTCGGGGGGGAATAGAAGCATCACTGAGATTTGCTTAGACGAGCTGAATTATATGAAGCTGCCACTCTTGTAATGAGAGAGAACATTGTTCTGAAAACCCCACTGATATTTTGGCTCAAGGTTGACCATTAAAATCTCTGCTAATCTTCATTCAGGCACAGTGAAGATTCCAGTTATCCGCCATGGTACTGACCTTTCTACTTTCACATCTGTCTGGTGTGCAACGCGGCCCTCAGATCCAGCTTCTGCCACTCCAGGAGTTGACTATGTTCCTAGCTCCAAGAAAGTGGAGTTTGGGCCTGGCATCACAGAACAGGTGCGTGGGAAATAGAGCCCCACAAAGTGCTAGGGCTGACGGGTCTATGAGTGTCATCTTTAGTTGGTTTCTAAAGCCCTACTGAGGACTCTAGACTCCCCTTGGAGTCTAGACTGTCTTTCCTTTGTTTAAAAACATAAACATGTAAGCAAGAGAGCACACTTCTGAGGGGGTCTTCTAAAAATTCTCCAAGTAACTTTTTAGCAAAAATTTCCAGCATTACAGATTTGGGATAGAAACTACATTTGGTTTTGATATAAATATCTAGAAACAAACTCCTAGGGACATTTAATAAAGAGATGATCATCTCATGGATTAAGACCACCAAAGAAAGTCATGTTTCAGCCTTTGTCCTAGTCTCCCAAAGACAAATGGGTATGGGGTGCTGGGCCCTTTGTAATGTTTGCTTTGATTTATCTTCTAGTATTGCACCTTGACTATCTTGGATGACACTCAGTATCCAGTAATTGAAGGACTGGAGACATTTGTGGTTTTCCTCAGCTCTGCGCAAGGGGCCGAACTGACCAAACCCTTCCAGGCTGTCATTGCAATTAATGACACCTTCCAAGATGGTAAGAGATTGGGGATGCCACCTGGCGGTTCTCAACATATTTCTGTTTTTTCCTTAACTTCTACCTATGTGACATAGGAACTCATTCACACTTCTCATTCAAGAAATAGGTGTGTGTGTGTGTACATGTGTGAGCACATGCATATGCACTTTTACATCAAATGTGAAAGAGAATCATTCGTGTCTCTGATACTCTGTCAGGCACAAATATGCATAAGCCTTGAACCCTGTCCTCAAGAAGCTCAGTGTCTACTTGGGGCATCAGACCCTTAAACAGAAGAATTAGAATACATTATGGTTTGACCTAATAGTACTATAAATCCAGCACTACGGAAGGAGAGAGGCCTGAGCAGTAACTATGTGCAGGGGATCATAGAAGATTTCACCAAGGAGAGGATATACAGCAGAGTTAGGTGTTACAGGAAGTCACCCAATGGCTAATAGAGGAAAGCCTATTTCAAATGGAGAGAAAGAGAGAGTACATACAAGGTGTAGCAATTTGAAAGATGCATATTCAGGAAACAGTGAGATCTTACTTTTGCTCTGAGCATGGCAGGAGTTAAATAGAATAAAAAGGAAAGATGGCTTGGAGTCAGGTTCTGAAAGACCTTACATTCCATCCTAGTGACTTTGTAAGCAAAGAAAAACAATAGATGTTTAGAAACAGAGGAGTAGTGTGATCTTTGATTTAGAAAACTAACATTGGCAGTACTGCAGATGATGAGCAGGAATCAATAGAGACAGGTTATGAAGAACATATCAGTCCCTACTGGAGATGTGATATGAAGATGGACAAGAAAGGATAGTTGCTTCTCAGGAAACATTTAGGAAATTTAGAGTTATTAGAACTTGAGAATCCATTGTGTGGACACCAGAGCTGATGGAGAAGATTGAGTCAAACCTGCACCTAAAGGAAGGGGATTCTCACCAGCATCCCTACGGGTCAACCGTGGAGCCTATGATTAAACTTTGAGATGGCTGAAAAGTTCTCAGGAAAAGAAAAGGAAGACCAGCAGAATGATCTTTAATGTTTTTATTTATTCTTAAATAATATATATCATGGATGTAGCAGTAAAAAATTCAGCTGGCCAGAAGGGTATATTGTACTATGAAAATTAATTCTTCTTTCTACCCCTGTCTCCCAATCTTCCCACTTTGCTGGAGACAACAGTCTTGCTCTTTCTTCTTCATCTTCTTTTTTAAGATAGGGTCTTGTTCTGTCATCTAGATCTAGGCTGGCATGCAGAGGCGTGCCCATGGTTCCGTGCAGCCGTAAACTCCTGGGCTCAAGCAATTCATATGCCTCAGCCTCCTGAGTAGCTGGGATACAGGCACATGTCACCATGCCCAGATAATTTTTTTGTATTTTTTATAGAGATGAGGTCTTCTACATTGCCCAAGTTGCCCAGGTAAGGGTTAGGTATACAAATACATTTTGTTCAGGCACCCTTGTTGATAAGAGGTGTTTCCCCGTCCCCAGACAGATATTTACTACTGTTAATCCCATCTCCCTCCCCCCGCATAGTTTTCCACTACTGTCAGTCATTTTCTTATAGTATTACATTGGATGTTCAAGGTCCACTATATGAGTGAGAACATGTGATACTCGGA